CACACACACACACACACACACACACACACACACACACACACACACACACACACACACACACGCGGAGATAAATCTCCTTTTTCGATGTACCTTCAGTGAACGGGAAGCTGGAGCAGGCTTTAGAGGCGCTGCAGCTGAGTTTGAAGCTGCAGGACTCTCGCAGCAGGGAGGAGCTCCGAAGGCTCCTGAGGTTCATGGCAACTGCAGCCAAGTCACAGGAAGTAAAGCTGCACAGAGAGGTCAGTGTTCCTGTGCCTCTTCTGTAACTATATAYGTTTAGGTTTGGTCTTCACTAACATGCTGTCTCCTATTAGACTGAGAACAGAATGGCGGTGAAAAGGGCTTTCTCCAGAGCCATCATCTACAGCAGAAGGCTCCCCAAAGGAAAGCTGGACTTGACGGTTCTGTTCATGATGGATAACTACACCGATCTGTTCAAAGTAAGCACTCCGAGCTCGGACCGGGGTTTAGGGTTAGGGTTTTGACAGTCAGGTAAAGAGCTGTGATTTAACTGAAGTTCTTCCCCACCAGGTTCCAGCCTCGTTGCACAAGTTGGTCAGTGAGCGCATCAGGAATATTGTGAACGGGAAGGATCCAGATGTGATAACAGGTTATTTGTGCAGCTTTTTTTTTCTGTTTTATATTTACTCAATTAAAGAACAGCGCAGTAGAAATCTCACCACTTCTCTTCCTCGCTTTTTCCTTCACTCCAGGCGTAACGTACAGCTCGAATGAAAGTTTTCAGGTGTTCGCTGGAAACGAGCAGAAAATCCCAAAGGAGGAGATTCTGTCTTTACTGCAGACGGTTCACGAGAGCCCCAAATTCTCCACCAAGGAGAAGAAGCAACTGCTGGGACGACTTTCTAAAGCTCACCCGGACATTTTTGTTCAGTACTTTGGAAATAAATTATCTAGTGTCAATATGTTGTTACGGTAATATTTATTGTTAGTTTTGAAAGAAGTTGTATATTATATCTAAAAAAAACCTGAGTTTAGATGACTGAGCAAAGAATGTGAACTATAATTGTTGAATTTTAAAATAAGCTGCATTATTTAAGAACATATTTAATGATTTTATTTTTGGTGCAGGACACTAAGCTAAAATGTAAAAACTAATTATGTCTTCTGAAAGAGGTGAAAATCTTGAACTTTTTTTTCTTCCTCTGATGCACTTATGTTGCACTTTGAGTAAAGAAAGATGAACCTGCATGTTGATTCCTTTTTGGATATATTCCTGTACATGTGCAATGGTGGAGCCAGTGTTGGTGAGAAGTGGACTGTTAGGACGGTTTGTCATGTACGTGTTGAGATGCAGCACAGTGAGTGGAAAAACAATAAAACCCTTAAAATGGAGTTTGAAAGTGGAAATGTGAAAGTGTGATGTAACACAGAGGCCTTCATGAGACTCATCCATCAGGTTTTGCTTTATGTTGCAGCAAAACAGATGTTTGGATGGCTTCCCTCTTGTTTTTTGGACTGGAAAGCGTAGCCACGTTTTAGTGGCGTCTGTTTCATATGAATTCTGTATAATCCTCCTAATCCGCTGAGGAAATGACTTCCATGTTCTGTCCCGCTTGAAGACGGATAAACATCTTGTTTCAATTGTTTTTTTTTTAAACGTCTGTGATGATTCAACTTGCATGTGTGCAGTTTTTTTTAAGCAGGAACCGTCTAAGGTCAAAGAATAAATCTGCATCTATGTCTAGTTAAATTACCCCCCATTTTTTGGTCATTTATTTAAAAGCTGAATGGTAGATTTTTCTCTGCCAGCGGTGCCCAAACCTGGTCCTCGAGAGCCATTATCCTGTATATTTTACTTGTTTCTCTGCTTGAATCTGAATGAATAATTAAGAGTATTCCACAGAACTTGAAGTRAAACTACAACATTTAGGGGAGTGCATGCCACACTTCTGCGCATTTAAAGTTCCTTTAAAAAAAATAAACTTGTGAATCGATTTCTGTGCAGTAAGACTTGTTTGGAGCAGAGCTGATATTCCTTTGTGTGTGATTGAAGTTAGAAATTTCAGACGCTTGATGTTTGTACGCTTTGATCTTCAGCTGTTGGTTGAAACTACCAGCAATGCACAGAGCAGCTAACAAAATACCAACACACGCAGTGTTCACTTTATACATCCGTAAACCTTCAACTGATCTGTTAACTTCAAAACTTTGCTGGTGACAAGTGAAGCTGAAGTGTCAAAATTTTCTGTGGTACTCGAGTATAATCAAAATGTAAAATCAAATTTTAGTGTGTAAAAATCTTACAACTGAGTAKGATTATTCCAGAGCAATCACTAAAAAATCCAGTTGGGCCTTTTAAAAGCTTGAACTGATTTTCCATCAGGGGAGTTATTTGGTTRGCACCTAGGCATTTCAATAAAGCATGTGTGATGCGTTAAAGTCAAATAAAAACACAAGAGTGGTTGGTTGTTTTTCCACTTTTATTTAAAGAAACTGTGTTTTCTCCAGTTAACTAAAAAAAAAGACTTTGCTTTCACTTTGYGGCTTGAACATAACATAAAAGTTTGAAGGAACCCACAGTTGAATTAAAACGTTTTTTACAGTATAATAGTCAGTCTTTAAAAATAAAAACTGCTGACGAAACAAAAGCCACAGAAACGGTCAGGTGTGGACACTGCCTGCTTGTTGCGTGTGTGTGTGTGTGTGTGAGTATGTTTCTTGTACAGATGTAGAATCTAGTGCGGATGTGTATACTGATCTCATGTGACCACCTGTGTAAAAGATCCTAGAAGTGTTTGCGCCGTGTTTTATCGAATCCTTTTCTGCTGGCGTGCGCGGTAGATGTCGTGTATGGGCGGAGCCACGGCTCCCTTGTCGTCCTCTTCGTCCGAGTCTGCGTTGGGCCTCTTAAGTGTTTTGGTGATGGTGTGGTTCTCCATGGCTCCGATGCCRTCCACGCCTGAATCGGGCAGTCTGCCAGTGATCAGCTCTATAGCAGCTTCAACCGCTACAAAGACGGCAGACACATTAGTAAACCTTCKAATTCATTTTGATGAAAAGAACATTCACGCCAGCAGTCAAACTGCAAACATCAAAGGGTAAACATATTTAGTGGAACAATCTAAAATAACTAAAGTAACTTACTTTCAGGAAGTGTGCATCTCCTTAAAGTTTCCAAGAGCTCATCCACTTGAACAAAAGGACCCTACAAACAGAATCACCGATTTTATAAATCGTTGTAGCATAAAAAAAAAAAAAGAAAATAAAACTTGACAGCTGCTGCAACTCACAGTGAAGCAGGAAGGAGGAGGGAGCAGCTTCATTAGGACAACAGCAGCTGGAGGGACGGGGAAAACTCCACCAGGGACRGGGTGTAAACCTGGAGCTGCAAGGAGGAACAGGAGAGGCTGCATCAAACACGAATCCAGCGGCATTCAAAGATGAATCGAGCACAAATAATGCCACGGATTGATAGAAACTGAGGAATCCTGGATGGGGATACGTACGAGCGAGGTGACGCGGCTGGAAGGGGATCATCTGATTGGTGTCGGGTTTGGGGTACTCGGGTTTACGATCGATTTCGTCTTTATGCGTAGGCACAGAGGGGGCTACCACGGTCTCTGGGAGCAGMGATGTCAGTTTGGCACGAGAAACGTCCTATACACAGACAGCAGACACAAACCAAGTACAGTTATAACAGAAGTAACAACACTTGCAGCAAGAGACATCAAGCGCATTCAAAAAACACACACCTTGTATCCAAGGGCTTTCAGTTCACTGGTAGAGCAGGGATACAGGTCCATGAACTTGTATCGATCCACAAGCAAGGCTGTTTCTTTGCCCTCGTATTCATCTTTGAAGGCAGTGAAGCGCCGGCGCTCTACTTTCAGAATACTGGCCAGGTCTCCAATGTTGCTCTCAAATGCCAGGAAGCGAGCCCAGACCTCTCTGAAGAACACAAAGTGGGTCAGTGTTAACGAGCAGGACCAGACTAAACAGCACCGACTTCATTAAAGTGTGACGTTACCCCGACTTTTCTGGAGATAAACTTCCTGAGGTGAGGACTCGCTCAAACAACACTCTGGTGTTGTTATCCTCTGAGAAGACAAGAGACACAAAACATGCTTTTTAAAAGCAGACTTTTGCTTCTTTCTTTYTCRATATTAACAGTCAGAATTAAAGACGTTTTAGATGCTATTTATCCATACCATTAAGGTGGGAGAGGTAATCGATGTATGCAAGTATGTACTCTGGAATGTCGCCGTATTTCTTCAGACCAAGCTCAAAAATCTTGAAGGCCACAGATTTATCCTGTCGAAGAACAATAAAACCAGATTTACAGAGTTGTATGAGAGTCATTTCAGTCTCTGCAGATAAAGGCACTGAGCGTGTGATCGGGTGGTCTTACTTTGCTGCAGTAGTACTCCATGAGCGCCGCCGACACGTACACGTGGTGACGTATGCGCGGATCCTCTCGTGCCTTTTTGAAAATGGTGCGACCTGATTTGATGCCCTCCGCCCTCCTGGCGAACTTCATGTACTGGGTGTAGACCAGCGTGGGGTCGACGTCCTCGATGGCCAGCAGCTTGTTATAGATGCTGTGCACTTTCTCGTACTTCATGCGACTCTGTGGGGGGGGGGGAGCAAAAAGAAGTGAGCGGAGAAGTCGGTTTATTTAGTCTTAGTGGTGCCGTGTGCAAAACCCGATGCTCACTTCTTCATAATCAGCGAAAGCGAAATAGAGAAGCATGTTCTTTTTCAGAAGGGTCCCGATGGCACGTTCGTAGATGTTGGCTGCTTCGTCACTAAACAGTTTTGAATTATTCATGTCCTGAGAGGGGAAATAAGGGGGTGGGGAGGAAGAATAAATTAACGAAAATGCTTTTTAACTTCTCGTCTGATCTGAATATATATTTGACATATTTTTTAATATATATGTATTGTTACCCCTTTCTCTGCCAGCAGTTTGCTGGACTGCTCCAGGTACTGAGCTGCCTCATACCAGATGTCAGGATGGTGGCCCAGCACCAGCAGGCACTGCTCAAAGGCAAACATCACTGCAACACACACCCAAAAATATTCCAATATTAGCATCAGATCCCATCACAGAAAAGAAAAAGGTAAATGTAGGCCCTCTAGTGGCTGCAATTCTAGAGGCCATCATAGCTACAGCTGCTACCTCTCTTTGTGATGAGAGTCTGATCTTCTGTGCGCAGCGGGTTGCTTTTCTCCCACTGGATGTACTTTTTCCACATTTCCACCTGCTGTGCCTCCTGGGGAGAGTTCTGTGGCGCAACTGAAGGTGCGTTCCTGTCTAACCCTTTCATCACAGTCTCATACTCCTGTGTTAAGAAAACACGCCTGGGTTATAAAAAAACCAACATTATTTTAACCCAGCCTGTGCATAGTTTGTTCAGCATCTCACCTTAGCCACTCTCCTTGCGTTCATGTAGTCTCTGCTTCGGTCCTCAATCATCTTTTTGGCCAGGTGCACGTTTATTCCCTGTTTGTGAACGTTCAAATAGTCATTTAAACAGGTGAAACTCAAAGCAACAGACAGAACGATAGTCTAAAACTTATGAATCTGACAAAGTTTCAAAAAGTTTGCATAATATCAAAAACATGTAATAAAAGTAGATATAAAGAATCCTAAACATATGTGGTAAAGTGTCAATTTAGTTTCTTTAGAAAGAAAAGGGGAGTTCTGTTACTGAAGTCACTTGCCTCCTCATATTTGTTATAATCTCTCCAGAGCTGCTCGATGTTAATCATGGGGTTCACGCAGCCTCTTTGGTACACCCTCCGAACTGCAGTGATCCGCTGGTTCTCTGCGTATGAGCCCACCGCCTCACTGATGAAACACAAAAACAGTCCAAGAGTCAATAACGCTGTTTAAAAGTCTGGAAAGAAAAAAATAAATAAATATATCGACACTTACACTCCTTTGAGGAAATTGATGTAGTCCACCCAAATCTGAAAAAATAAAATAAAATAAAAATAAATAAATAAAATAAACAGGTCAACGGACCGTAATTGATGTAAACATTGTTTAATAAACAACTGCAACTAATATATTTGATTGCTTTGTGCACCTGATAAGACATAATTTCCATGCCGATCTTATCAAGGGCAAAATCATACGCCTGGGCCATCTTCTCTCTGAGAACAGAAGGGTTAAAGTGTGATGTAAAATGTGTATTTTTGAGCAACGTCAAAACGTCACAAATGTGGCGCGCCTTCTTACTTGTAGCTGGGAAGCTTTCCTTTGGTCTCACGAACATACGAGAGGTAACATTTCCACAGGTCAATGTGCAACACTTTCATTAGGCATCTCTGGAACAACTGAACAGGTTAAAGAAATATGTTCAAAAAGGTGCCATGTAATCAATACATTCCACAAGATTAGTGATTTTGAACACCTTGACAAACTGCAAGCAGCTAACAGGTAAGATGGCAAATCAACAAATGCATTAAAAACTTATGTTGCATTTTATATTAAAAACTGCAAAGAATGTTTTAATCTGTTATTTGATGGGTGTCTGATGCAGCCTTAAGTTCTGAGTTCAGTGGTKTGAACTGAGATTCAAGCAAATCAGAAATAAGAAGACATCTAATGATACAGATGGTTTTATTTAAAGTGAAACAGGAAGTGAAAAATGTGCTTACATAGCATCACTACATTAGAACTAAAAACAAAAAGGCACAATATATACACTTGTCCACAATAAGTGCTGCAAGTATATCCACATATATAAACACTAAAATTGAGTACACAAGGATATCAATTGTTAATTCATCCCTCATTCAGATATAGCATTTTAAGTTAGTGACTACAATCAAACAATACAAAAATAAACAATTTTTTATTATGAACACATACCTTCTCTACTCTGTCATAGTTTTTTGCCTTGATCTGCAAAAAGGGATGTAAACGTAATTTCAATTCAAGGGTATTTATAGATATTATGGGTCATTTGAAACATGCATTCATGCAGATGCAATCCCTCACACACAACCCTGAAGATCAACAAAGTGAAATTCACACAAGAATGACAAACCACTCTGAGAAAGGGGTTTATTTTCTTTGTATTTGCAACACACAACCCTGAAAAACACCAGCGCCAGAAAAGTAGACTATGTAAAAGTATGAACCAGGCTTCTGATCTGGGGTGGGGGGAGACAATAAAAACAATCTTGTTTTAAAGTTCCAGCTGAGCACAGTCCTCTGGTAAACGGTGCTCCATGGCACAGCTCTTTTCAGCATCGACAGCAGAGGCTGATAATACTGTGGCGTTAAGGCTTCACACTTGTGTGGTTTGAGCTGTCTTTTTGCAGCGTTCAGAACTGGTGTGGGGGGAGGGGCTTAGGCCAGAGAAATATTTTGAGGCTGTAGGTTGAACACTTTGCTGTAAATCATAAAAAAAAAAAAAAAACTACCAAATGACTGCCACATCCTTTAAATCCATGGGCCTGACAACAGCAGCCTCACTGATCAGCAGTTCCTTCACACCAAAAATTCGAAAAAATCTTGTACTGGAAAATGTGAAGCAAAGCACCACAATAAAATTATAAAAGCAAAAGCATGCCTTTAATGTGTACACACTGCACTGTCCTAGTACCACAGTACATGGAGTAAAAACTGGTAAAGATGAACACAATGGAAAATACATTATTTTACTTGTTTGCACTTCCCATATAATAGGAACTACGTCTTGAATGTCCTGGACATTTTAGTTTCTTCAGTTAACAAAATGCATGTTTCTGTTAAACCCCCCCCCCCCCTTTCCCTATAAAGCAACATAAAGCATCACCAGTAGTCTTACTGTGTGTAATGACTGTGTGAATGTACGCAATTTTTAAAAAAACCAAGCGTTCGCACAGAACTTCTATTTTTGGTAAAATTCTTCAAGATGATTGCCATCTTTGAAAACATATTTGCATCAATACTCAAAAAATAAATAAATAAAAATAATGTAGTAAAATATGTTAAAACCTACAAAATAATTTCCCTGAAACATGTTATAATTGTGTTTAAAATAGTGACTATTTTTGTGCATCATAATTTTCCTCAATTTCAACTTGTTTCTTTGCATCAGATTCTGAAATTAAATTTCTGTAGGTACACTAATCAGTCTTTAGCTGACAGGTAAAGCTTTCTGTGGTTAGATATAAAGATGTAGAGCAACTATTCAATTAGTACTGAACATTTAATTCCCACTTTTTAGATGAGTAATGTCGATCTATAATAATGCCTTCAGAGGGATAGAGGGGTGCACATCTGTTAGGACTAGTAAGTTCTGACTGAACAACACAATAAAAATGGTGAAAGATGTGGAAACAAAACATTTAGACTGATGCAGTCGCCTCTCTATACTCTTGTACAAAATTTTTGTGCCATTCAGCATAAAAATTATACATTTTTTTCTTCTTCTGAAGCCTATTCAGTGAGTGAATGACTGCAGTGAGATAAATTATTTAGTCTGAACAGCTAAAAAAAAAAAGGTATATGGTGTTTAGTCTCAAAATGTAAAAACAATCTGTATGCAACCTAGTTTGTGTGGTTCTCAAGGGGCGGAATGAGCTTTTATACATACTTACCAGTGGGTGGTGCATTTGTACTTGGGATTACTTGATACTAAAACGTTTGGTCAACATTGGCATGCCTTAGATTAGTATCCACATACTATATGTATATTTTTAAACATTTTAACATTCTATATATGAAGTGTGTTCTTCTAACAAATTATGGAAATATGCTAAACTTGATGGAAATATGCTAAACTGATGATGCTGAGGTGTGGAAAATTAAAAAGCTTGGAATTATGTAGGGAAAAAAATTAACTGTTTTAAAAATGTGACATTTAACACAAGAGAGCTTAAAGCTATTTTTGTCAATTTAGGGATCTAAAATCTTAGGACCACAAAAAAGCTTATATCATAAATTACAAGTTAGTGCTTTTTTATGCTTGCTAACTCAAACATACAACTGTTTTTTTTTTTCTTTGTATTTATGTGGTCAGTTTCCATTTAGCCAAATTTGTTTAGCCTGCAATTAAATGAAACCCTGTTCTGTTTAAAGCATTTCTACAAAAAACAAAAACACCTCACTACTRGTATCAAATCAATCAGTGCTACATCACTGAATTTACACTGACATTTAAACAAAATAAGTACTTATAATTTGCTGTATATTTAAGTAAAAACAAGCCATATGTTACAGCAAATCTGTTTCTTTATATGTTCCTGTCAACAATATTGCAAGTGATGTTAGTCACAAGTTTCATTTCTGCTATTAGAACTAAAGACAACTTACAAGGCCTGAAGCCTAACTTAGAAAATGTGATGGTGTGAAGTGTGGGTGTATTTTTCTTAATTCCTGTGGGTGGAGTCCACAAAAAGAGGAAAAAGAATGGACATTATGTATATATATCTGCAAAAAAATAAAGRATCAATAAATGAAATGTAGGTCAGGATAAATGATTGGGTGTAAGAAATATAACTTTAATTTGCTTGAGAGCAAAGCTTGTTCTTGGTGGCGAGGCAGAAGGGTCACAGGTCATGTATTCAGAAGGAGCAGGGAAAAATGTCTCATGAAAAGAATGGGCCACACAATCAAGATCTTTCTTTATAACATTACCCAAAAGAAACGACACAGGAGGCAATAAATTGACACGACAAGTGAATAAAAGGCTAATGCACTCCAATACCATTAAAATAGTTTTAATACTGTTGCAGACCAAACATGCAACAAATGCATTTACCCCGTTTAAATATGGCGCAGAAAAATAAATCTTTTATCCTGAAAACATAAATTATATAAAAAATGTTTATAGCCGGTTTCCCCTTTGTGTTTAAAGGCACAATTCTTTAAAACGTAATAGAGCTTCACTCCAATGAGATTTTCAATGTTTAATCCGGGACCCTAATTGTGTATAACCTTTTAATACACATAAAAAAGTGCTATTACAAAACACATTTCCTGTTGTAACTGGTTAACAGAATATGTTCTACAGATTAAGGCTGACACCTTTAAGCAATGTAATTAGGCCTGTCGATTCAATACGATTCAATAATTCAAATGAATTGTGACTTTAAACTTCATTCAGCGAAAACACATTTTGGTTGTGTGAAAATCACATTGTTGATCGTGTTAGAATAAGTCCCAGTCATGCACTCTAGATAAAAAAAGAAAAAAAAAATATTAACCTCAGCATCAATGAACAGCTTCCAGAATCTGCCAGAACTTGGAAACTGTGAGACAAGTCGTTCATAGGTCTTCCTTGCTTTATCTATGGGTTGATTCTAAAGGAGAAGAATGCATTTACATTTCACACTATTTAACATAGAATACAGCAGTATACTGCCAATAATGTGATTCAGGGGAAAAACAAAATACTAAAACCTATTAATTTGGATCAAATTATAACCTCAACCCACACACCCACATTCCCAATTTTCCTTAACCCCAGGAATACAACTCTGTGTCACTAAACCTGTGTTTCTCGAATCAGAATGCTCCATGCGTCAAGGTCATATGGGTTTTCTTCCAACTTCTTCTCTGCCTTCTTCACCTTCTCAGGAATATATTCTGCTGCGGCCTGCAAGAAAAGACAAATACACAAACATTATGTTTATGGGACTAAAAACGCCCACAACAGTGTGCTGAGATGACCAAAATACTCATCAACATCTCATCAATACTAMATAACACTGGTACCGCCACAACAGCCCAAACCTCGCGAGAAMTGGCGAAGAAAACGCGAACTAAAAAGACAAAATGCCCTTTTTCCTGCTAGCTAGCTAGCGGTTCTTCCAGCTGGTKACATTAAATAGTATCAGCCAAAATACAGTAAACAAGTAGAAACATACAATAACGCTACGATGTCTGTCGATGAGGTTAGCTCTAAATGGTAGTTAGCCAGGCTTAGTTACGACAAAGCTWTAGCTGAGCCAATATGGCGAACGACGAGGACACACAAAACAAGTACAAATTAAATTATGACCAGTTTTTTATTGAGCAACTTTAAAGGCTGATAAAAATTTTAAAATATTGCTTTCAAATACACGAACTCAAGCAGGATCAAATGCTTAACAGTTTTTAAAAATAATACAAATCAAGATGTCACGCCGTTGGCCATGAAAACTGCATGTTGCTACCTTGTCGCCTGCTGCCTCCGTCGCCATGGCTGGAAGAGTAGCTACGCTAATAATACTCTGTCAGAATCAGGAACAAATACAGCGTGACGGAGATTCTTCACAAAACCACTAAGTCATCGGCATAACTTCACAGAGACCGATTACTTTGCACTGGGGGAGAACTAAACGTTAAACTGCTGGTCTCCTCTCGCCTCGCCGACGTCTAAAATGGCGATAAAGAGAGGTTTCCGGTGCGGCAATAAAACTTCCGGTCTGCAGGATTCCTTCAAAATAAAATACATTTTCGCAAAAGAAACAAGTTTGTTGATGAAGCGCATGAACCAGATTCCCGTCACGTCGTAACAATATAACCCATGTCCTAGAAAAAAATATCTAAAAATAGATAATATTACACATAACATGACAATATAGAGTCACAGGACAACAAAAATGAGCCAGATTTAACCGGACCAATCACAGGCTCAGGATGACGCACCACAAGATATGCCAAACAAAAATAAAACATACAGTCACCACGAGGAAACTAAATAGCTAGTCGTGAAAAAAAGCTACAACAACAAAAAACACAAATAAATGCTTTGAGACATACCAAAGCCCAAGAAATGCAATGCCACTAAAATGGAGCATAAAACAACTATCATAAGAAAACAAGCAAACACAAATAATGACGAGTTTGAAAATAAGCTAAACATGACACAATAACCAATAAGGAATGTGTTTAATAAAATGCATAATAATCACGTTCACCTTGTGCTTGCAACTTTCCTACCACTTACTGGACTATGGTGATGTTCACATKAATGCCCTGGCCAGTTTAAACACATTTAAAAGAAATGGGATATTCATCATTCCAGGCCTGCTCTTTAGATTGTAGTTAACTTTAACATGTTTGTTTAATGATCTTTAATTGATGTCATATGTAACACAGGTCTCTCTTTGTTAAAAAAGAAAAGAAAACAAACAAAAAAAAACTGTGAATAAACTATCAAATTATATATTTTTAACATTTAAATAGGATTTTTATTGCTACTACTACTACTACTATTACTACTACTACTACTACTACTTCTACTACTACTACTACTACTTCTACTACTAC